AAAAAGGACTTTCACATCTTCATCAATATTGTGTATGGAGGTGTCTGCATATAGTTGACTTTAAAACGACTTTTAAATAATGAAAAGTAATGTCTGAAAAATTGAAGAAAAAGTGAGTTGGTCAATGAATACAAAATTTATAATCTCGTCTCATCGTCAACTCGTCGCACCAATCATTTAGGTATAAATATTTTTCATAGGGTCTCCGACGTTTCCTTCAAACTTTATACCAAAGTTAATGTACCCTCTTCAGGCTATTCAAATGACAATTTCTTTCTCAACATAGTTTTCTTCTTGCTCAATACATGGGATCTAGAGATTTTTCAACTTTTTTAACATTTAAAATATATTTTCTACAGCTCTTCAATATAGACCTCCGTGGCGGCGACAACCTCCCCATTCGACTCAAATTTCTTCCCGGTGTATAACTTTGTCGCTTACCGAAAAATTGAAAGTCGTACGGAGCCAACCCTGGACGGGGTAGCAATTCATAGTTTCAAAATCTCGTTCCACCAATAATATCGAATGGGGATTATTTTGAAGGCGAAAACATTAACGTAGAAAAATGAATTAATATTTTTTCCAAATATCGAAAATTTTTAAACACACCCACAGGCTAAATAAAATCACACGATTTTCAAAACATAAAACAACAAATCTCCTTATAAGTTGTTACACTTAATTGGACTTTAACTACTAAACTGAAGATCAATTCCTTTAAGTCATACATCTAATGGTTCCCGCACATCCTAATTTGCAGCATCGTAGCTGTATCTAAGGAAATTGTGTCCATTTGACTGAAGACCTTTGCCTAATGGTTATATCTGATATCTTAGCAAAGCTTAACTACTGTTTTAGAACATCAGCATAAGCAACCGAATTCCCCGGAAGTCCTTATGAATGAATATTGGCTGCACTACACCTTCTGCTCCACTTTAGGACACATTCATTAAAGTAATAATAATAAAATATGATAACACATAGGCTGTGATTACAAATCTGGGATCAGTTCGTTTTAAAACTTTCGAATTTACATAATAACAAACCAAGATAGTTCGAGATAAATCTGTAATCGTGTGTTCCGAATACTCATTTCGTCTTTTTCAAAGGATAATTTTTGATGTTTCGTTTAGGAGGACCATATTTTTAACGTTTTCTTCATATAGCCATTATGCGCTTGAAATGCGGCTTGAAATAACCACAATGTTCACCAATACTATTGTACAGCCATTCGAAATGTCTTAGACATATAGCTGTCTTCTATTCGCCATTTCTTTGCTTGCTTTCTTTGCGCGCTGCTCTTTTGTCAAAAAAAATTGAATGTAAAAGCAACAAAAAAGTTATCGAGTTAAATTCATACAAAAGAGTATACGGTGACCTCATTAAAGTGGTATAACACCTATCTTCAGTGCTATCAAGTTTTTTCGCAAATTTTCTTTACTCTTTGATTTTAAAACTTAATTATGGTAATTTTTAAAAGCAAAAGTAAGGGGTTACTAAACCGCTTTTTGACACGGGAAAATAAATTTCTCCACCAGGAGAGAATCGAAATAAAATGGCGAATGCGTTAAAGGACATGCTAGTGCTGGGTTGCATCAAAAGTGCTACCTGTTTGTTTGAACATATCGTATAGTTTCTTCCATTGGGTACTTTCCAATGCGTGAATTCTTTATGTACGATCCATAAGGCCATTAATTAACATAATGGGACAGTTATCAATTGACTCTAAACTCTAAAACTCTAAAAAATTATCAATAAAATCTGTGATATACGGATTTTTATTAGTTAGCCCACCTAAGACCGCTTTTCCGTGCCAATAAATACAATATGCAGCTTGTTATGTTTGTCTTCAAGATATGAATTTTGTTTTCAACTTCAATTTGGTATTACATAAACTATATACCCATATAGAAAACATATGAGAAGTCGGTCTACGGAAATTTGGTAAATTACAAGTTCATTCTTAATTGTAAAAAAGATTCAGTTCGAGTCTACCTACTGGTAAGTATGCTAAAGTTGGATGTAGCCTGAATATGCCAACCATAATTTGATTTTCAAGACAAGACCGGATTTTTCTAATGTTGATCTAGAAAATCATCTTTCTAAAAAGTCATATTTTTTATATTTATTTATCTTTTATTACCTGTTGAAGGTTCTTAAATCTAGACATTACTTAGAAAATACAAAGTTTACATTAATTTTTAAATGACTAAGAGATTTTTAGTATCAGATAAGATATTATATTTATATACATCTCTTCAAGCAAACCGGGATATGAGTTTCAGTCATATTTATATAGTATAGATTTGTAAATTCAACTAAGTGAATCCTTCAACGTTAACGGAACTTTTGCATGTAAAAGATGCCAAAAAACTGCAAAAAACTGACATTAATACAATAAAATAAACATTCTCCGCGAAAGCTGTCACCGTACGCCATGACCATTAGAATGATTTATTGCTAAGTCATCGCCATTACCAGTATTGCCAATGCCTGGCCGCTTTTATTGTTTTAACCTCTTTGCTTTGCGCTTTGTGCGCATTTTGCATGCCGAACATTTTCCAGCAGCCAACGATGATGACAATTCCAAACTGTCACTTTGTTTGCTCTTTCCCTGTTTCTACGACATTTCTTGCCCACAAAAAGAATAAAATAAACACAATAAAACATTCAAGCAAGTATGAAAAGGGTAATAATATTTGGGGAAGAATTCAGCGCCAAATAAAAAGTCAAAAAAGCATGCAAAATGCCGCGCCGCTATGCCCACGTGCTGAAAGATTGCCAACCAGCGAAGCAGTTAACCCATTCAAAAAGTTCGGGCGCACAAAAAATCGACGAAAGTTGGCAAAGCATTAAAATAGATATAAAGTATTCGAAAGAGCTCCAGCTGAATGCCAGTAAATTGTATGGAAATAAAATAAAATGAAATTTTACGAACAATCTAGTTTATTCGGGGAGTGAGGAAAAAAATGTTTACGCAAATACTTTTTTGCGCGCTTTGCGACGTGACTTTCTTGCGTTTTATGTCCTTTGTATGTGCACACACACACGCACACATATACACTCATGGATGCCGCTTCAAATGGCGTATTGATGCGGTTGGCTGACGACACGCGTTTGCATGGAAATCAGGCACACTTTTTATTGCGATTTTTTTATTTTACGCTCATTATTTTATTGTGTTGGCAAAGCGGTTTAAATATATTTATTTAAGAAGTTTCTTTATTTTATATCTTTATCAGAGGCCATGTGACGCACGTAATTCAAATGTAGTGATTGTTGTTGTCGGTGTACGGTGACAGGTTCTATGCAAGTCACGAGTGAATATACTAAGCAACTAATTGTTTTCAAATTTTATTGTGTGCTTTAGTCATACCATAATTAAATATGTTACTCATACGCCCCGCCAACCAAAGTAAGCTAATCAAAATAATTAGTTGATTTATATTTTTGTCGGGATTTCACAATATTTCAATTACTTTCATAAACGATGATTCTATTAGCGTGATTATTCTATTAAGGATTATTACAAAAGTTCCTAAGTAAATCAATGGTACATTATAATATGTGATTTAAAAAATATTTCGTTAAATGTTAATGGAGAAATATTAAATAAGTAAGGAATAGCTAAGTACGGGTGTAACCGAACACCACTAAGTTTTATTGTTATATTTTACTTCGCGTCAGCTAACATTACATAAAAATCATGCTCAAATGAGATATATGTGATATAATCTCAACCAAAGAGGCTGAACTTAATGTATTGTGGAAAACTTCAACCATAGGATGGGAATTCATTATATTAGGGATATGAGGTTTATACCATGGTTTATCATTAATATATTTTTATAATTTTTAAGAAAACGTGTTTACTTATTTTCATTAAAATATCGCATCATTTGCCATTGTTATATGCTCGAGAACATATTTTCAAGAAATGTCATCAATAAATAACTCACATACTGACCAAAATTTTCGGCATAAGGTTTGTAAAAACAACAAAACTCTATTTATGTACATATGGAGATAGGGGTAGTATTGCCCAGCTTTTATATATTTTTGGCATTACTATATATTGCGAACGGCAAATATGCTCTCTGAGTTTCATTTAAGTATCGCACATACCATCACCAATATGTGTGGAATAAAGTCAATCGGATGTTTGAAAATACTGATATTAATTATATGGGGACTAGGGAAAGTTTTCACCCAATTTCATTCATTTTCACACTGTCAATAGGGTTGTAAAAATATTTGTACTGAGTAAATTTGGTTATTATAGCTTTAGTGGTTTAGGAGATGTGTACATTAAACCTATTAGAGGGCGGGACCACGCTCACTTCAAAAAAAAATTAAACTGCAGATGTCCCTGCCTAATGCAATTCGTTATATAACAGTCTTGTACCTTTTTTGGAGCTTAGTTATGTCAATTTATTGGTTTTCAATTAATGGCGTTTTGTAGGCGTGACAGTGGTCCGATTATGCCCATCAACAATACCAATCTTTTTGCTCTAATCACCGGATTTTAATTCGTAAAGTTCATCGAAACAACCAAATAGCACTCACTTATTGAATGAAATCAGCTAGAAAGTTGAATTAATGTCGAGTAATATAGAGTTAAAAATTTTCAACGAATGGTTATGTACCCAATGTGCTTTTCACCGTACGTCAATTGCTTGATTCCGCTCTTCTTTTTGTTCTCTCTCTTCTGTTTTTTCCACAAACATATACATTTCTTTGTTATTTAATAATTTTGTTTTATAATCATTTAATGTTGGAAACAACCATCAATATAAAATAAAACGAAGACCTAACAGCATTTTTTGCATATAATATAAGCACGTACCTAATTTTGGACATGTTTTCTCAGCTTTAGAAGCCCTTATACCTTATTTACCTGTTTGTTTCTACCTCACATTATTAAATATTGTTCCATTTGAATCCACACCCGCCTTGTACATATGTCCCACTTATTGTATTATTTTTCTTCTCTCCCCCAGCGATTGCAGCACCCTTCGAGTATTTCGAGGATCACGACCAACTCTCCTACGACTTGGATACCGAACAGTCAAAAGCCAAATATGATACACGTCTGCTGTCCGAACAAATGTTGAAGTTGGAAAAATCCACTGAACGATACGAAAGTGCTGACAGAAACGCTAACGGTATAGGCAACAGTGCGACCAATTCCGAACTGGAAGAAGACACCGAGTCGGAAGCAGATACGGATGTGGATGATTTGCAACCGCATGAACGTGCGGCTTCGTGTCACAACAATGGCCATAAATACACGCACGGTCAAAAGGTAAGTCACGTTGGAGTACATAAGTCTAAGCCAGTACCCAGACATGAACATGCAGGCTTTGTCAAACACGCGGCTAATGGACTAGTAGGAACAATCAACGACGGGGAAACGACTCTAATTTGGCTACTTTTGTGGTTTGGTTTTAACGATGAATTTTAGAAATTTTTATGTCCTATAAGTCCCCTTCTTGTTATATAATTGAAACATGCCATAATCGTAACCGATTCCTTGTCAAATTTTTTAGCACTTGCATCCACTTCAAAACTAGAAAGAACTTTTTTGGCCAAATTTTCCTACAGGGCTCTTATACAATTGTGTAACGAGTAAACTCTAACAAAGTGAAGGAAAAAGTCAAAGCAGAGGTGTGGTGTACCTTTTCACTGTTGACGTGCTGCTGTGGCATATGTCGGCTTGTGCATAACAGCCCTATAATTCATTGTTCTACTTTCTCTAATCCCATACTCCCAAGTCTGTACTGAAATACTCAGGTGAGTGTATACTCACATACAAACTTGTACATAGATGCTGATGTATGCACGGTGATTTGGCTTTATTGTAGCTGCTGGCACTTGCGGTGCTTAACTTTGTAGCGATAATTCCTTAGCGACACTGAGATTCGCCGTCAATGCTCGTAGCGTTTGAGTATTTCTTGGAACTAGACCTAGGTATACTTTTATAGGGATACCCCTTATACTAATAGCTGTTTTGTATAACTTTAGCAGGTTGTTTAAGAGACGAAATCTGATTTTGGAGAAGAATGAAGTGCCGGTTTAACAATATAAATGCATTTATTTATAAATATAATTGAAATGCAATTATTTATAATAATGAAGAATGCTTATCAATAAAAATTAATTACCTGTCAGATCAATTTTAAATATGGTGGATAAAGGAGTAATACTGATCAAATAATTCACAAATTAAGCATTAATTCGATAGATATTATGCTTTGAGATCTACAAGTATGTACATTAGAAACCAACTAAAATACTTTTACTTGAAATCTTTTTGTTTCCTATTGTTTCTCTTGTCACTATTCTCTAATATCAGAGATATCGCATGAAGGCCAGAACTTTGAATAAAATTTCTTGTTTAAAGAGATCGTCGCAAATCTTTTTAATGATTTTTAGTGTAGGAGTAGATTTCCTTTCCCCGTTTCAGAATAAATATATCCGTTTCATCCTGTCACCTACTAGATGTGTACGCTAGGAGGACGTTAAAAATAAATATGATAGATAAGCGCAAATACAACAAATCTACATTATTTTGAAGTTGCCCTAAAAGGTTTGAAGCTTCTAACAGTCCAAGTAACATTTTCAGGGGTGCAGACGAGCTCATCATTCTGCCTAAATAATCTGCAATATTGCGGATCTATCCTATTTGATCGAAAGAAATATGTACATGCCTAAAAATAATTTTATTCAATCCTCGATGTTCGATGGTTGCACGCTTGGCTCTCAATCTTTTGGCGGCCTTCATGTGGTCTAAGATAAAAATCTTTTAATTTATACCGTTCGACTTCGCTACTTAGCTACTTCTTCTATTCCGAGCTTTAAGCTGTATTCACGCTTTAAGCCATATTCATATTATCCAATTTGACGATAATCCTAACATTTGTCGCTAGATAAGGTAACGGCTGCTTCACTTACTCGTATATTCTCTTGTAGAATTTTAATAACCGCAATGATGACTGTTTAATGCCAACTTTTCTGATTTTTATCCCAAGAAAAACGATTATTAAATAGCATATTTATACCATGAACCAGTGAAATTAAGTTTGTCACAAAGTTGGTAACACCCAGAAGGAAACGTCGAAGACCCTATAAAATATATATATGTACATATGTATATATGATCAGCATGACGAGCTGAGTCCTTCAGTTTTTGAAATATCCTGCACCTATGAAAGTATACTTTCGTTGCAACCGACATTAACTTTTTTTCTTTGTTTAAGACGACTTATAGCAAACTTCTTTCTAAAACAATTATTGGAAGAAAAATTGCATAAGTCTGCCGAATAAACATTTTTTCTCTTTGAAGGTGGTTTTTTGAGAGATGTAATGTAATTTAAATTTATAATTTTAATTCTAATGGTAGTAAAATGAACTTTAAACTATTTCGATGTTATATTTTGACAATGAATTAAAAGAAATTTCGATATCGATCTCTTCGAAAAATTATGTTATTTGGACCACAACATTAATGGACCTTATCAACATCTTAAGGAATCTCTACTTGTAAAATTTAAAGCGCCTTTCGACAACGCAAAAGTAATTACATACAGGGAGTCTCATAATTATTAACTATTTATTGAAAATGAAAATATTAACTTAAATTTATTTTACAAATATTTGGTTTTGAAACCTACTACTACTTCTTAAAATTCAGATGCAAAAATTGGCTTTTGTTAAATCGTGAAATTACCAAAAAATATTGATATCTTGAAATATACTTTAATACTGTACAGCATAGACTGAAAAATCCTTGACCTAACTTTGATCTCGACGTCCATTAGATTCCAAAGTCCAATAACTGAATAAAGATGGAATGAAATTTCATGAAACTTTAAAAGTACTCGTATTATGGTTAAGCAAGATTGGAAATTTTCGATTTATGGTAAGCAATCACTTTAAAAAGCATGTCTACTACGTTCAAGTTTCGTGCATCGTCAGCAAAAATCAAATTAAGCTGTTATGCTAGAGATAATTCGCTTCTAAAGTAGTTGAAACCAGCATATAAAGCTTTCCTAAAGAGCTTTTAAGATAATAACTTCGTTGTTTGGTAATATTGCTTTACATAATTTATGTAATGTTTTTCATAACCTAATCCTAATATTTAAGAATTCAAATTTAGATTGTAGCAGAATACTTTAAGAATTACTCAAACTAACTATCACTTAACAGCTTAATTTAATTTTTTTCTTTTACAGGTACCTCGAATTGATCCTTGTGAAGTTTGCCTCTGTATGGATGGCGAAATATTTTGCTGGTGGGAATTATGTTGTAAGTATGCACCAAAAATTATTATATTTGCGCAATTATCGATTTTTTTAATAAAACAAACAACACAAGAATTTGAAGGATTTTTTTCATTAAAAGTGTTTATATTAATTATTTTGTGTATGCAGCCCACAAAAGAATACCCCGCATTTTTAACTTTTGCTTAAAAAGCTTTTAAGTACACGTCACACTTCCACACACGCACGCAATCAGAAAGTGCTCATAGTAATTCACTTGTATTTTTTGCCTGCCGGACATGTTGACGTTGACAGTGACAGCTGACAAGTTAACAACACAAAACCGTAACGCGAAACGTTCAAAAGAAATACAGTTACGGCTCAACAAGTGAACATTCTTCTATGCTTTCATCCAGTATTTTCACATTTTATTTGAGTTATGAAAAACTTTATGCGGCGCTCAAATTAATCCGAAAGTAAAATTTAATCTTCGACGTACTTAAATTAGTGATCGATTGGATGGAGTCATTCAAGTTAAGAAAATAACTTCGTCACTTGGATTGAATGTCTCCGCTTTTTTATACTCTCGCAACCTGTTGCTACAGAGTATAATAGTTTTGTTCACCTAACGGTTGTTTGTATCACCTAAAACTAATCGAGTTAGATATAGGGTTGTATATATATAAATGATCAGGATGAAGAGGCGAGTTGAAATCCGGGTGACTGTCTGTCCGTCCGTCCGTCTGTCCGTCCGTCTGTCCGTCCGTCTGTCCGTCTGTCCGTTCGTGCAAGCTGTAACTTGAGTAAAAATTGAGATATCTTTATGAAACTTGGTAGACATGTTTCTTGGTACCGTGAGACGGTTGGTATTGCAGATGGGCGTAATCGGACCACTGCCACGCTCACAAAACGCCATTATTCAAAAACAAATAAATTGCGATAACTAAGCTCCGCAATAAGATACAAGACTATTATTTGGTACATAGCATCACATTAAAGTGGGGCATCTGCAGTTAAAATTATTTTTTTTAAGTGGGCGTGGTCCCGCCCCTAATATGTTTAATATTCATATCTCCTAAACCGCTAATGCTATAATAACAAAATTCACTGGAAGCAAAATCGGGTGACAAGCCCGCCTTCTCCCCATATAACGGTACTGTTAAAAAATACTAAAAGCGCAATTAATCAAGCAATAAACACGCCAGAGACATTAAATTTTATCTCTGGGATGGTATGAGATGACTTTATAGGAACCGCGTTCAAAATTAATCAGTGGGCGTGGCACCGCCCACTTTTACGTGAAAACCCATATCTTGGGATTTGCTTAGCCGCTTTCAACCAAATTCAGTGCATAACGTTCGTTTCATATTTCTATGTTATAGTGCGAAAATGGGCGAAATCGGAGTACAACCACGCCCATTTCCCATATAACACCATTTTCCATTCCATCGGATTCTTTCACTTTCCACTATGCATATCAAGCAACAATGATAATATCGGGGTAAAACTTTGCGTGAATAATACGTTTAAAGTATGCCACCTTGTGATCAGAAATTGTCTAAATCGAACCAAAACTGTTCAAGCCCCTAAGTACTAAATACCCCAGTGCCTAAGTTGACCTTCTACCGAAAATATCAGTCAATCCACAAAGAAATCTCAAACGAGTATACCGTTTGACTTTGCGAGAGTATAAAATGTTCGGTTACATCCGAACTTAGCCCTTCCTTACTTGTTTTCTATATATTTATTTATTTCTATTACTGCTTATAAATTTAGCTATATTTAGTGTTATATTCTTGATTTACTCACATTCGCTTTGCCGCTGTTGCCCTTTGTATTGTATTTTGGCTTATATTTGAGTTCTTATGGGGGACCGCTCATGCGACTAACTTGATTAGACACACTTCATTAGACTAAGCTTTTGAGGGCAGCCTATTTTTGGCGAATCCGTTAGGAGTGCAACATAAGTCACTAAATTTCTAAAATTAATATATCATCTCTGTTACAGTCGACAGGAAATTAATAGAGTTAGGGATATGAAATACTTTAATGTTAGCTTGAAAAAAAAAACACATTCAGCGGAAATGTATAATATGATGTCGTATAAGAACGCTAAATAGGCAAACCTATAACTAGAAAAAGTTGCCAAAACCTTTAGCGATATTGTACTCTCGCTATTATTGTTCTTGAACAGAGGACAGTCTTTGGCCGGAAAAATCTATTCCGATTCCATTTTACGGTAGATCCTCCCATCATGGAACTTTTTTTAAACAACACAATTTCTTTCATTATAAAGCCTGTTTTTTAGACATGTGGTTTTCAAGAAGAAATAAAAGGCATATAATTTAATGTTATAGCTAAGAATTTAGCTATATTATTACGATAAGGGCTTGCCATTATGCTCGAAAAATTATTTCGGCCAATTGACCGAATAAATTCCAACCGAGAGGGCCAATTTTAGAGCACTTGTTGCAGTAATTGGAGCAGCCACACGCCGAATATTCTCTTGATAGACTTCCATCATTTCGGGCGTGCCCTCGACGAGAGATAATGCGCTCACCAAAAGTTTTCTTCAATAAATTGATTGCTACGGTGGCTGTATGGCATGTAGCGCCGTCTTGTTAGAACCAAAGGTCACCTAATTCAACATCCTTCAATTCGGTTACGGAAAAGTCAATGATCATAACTCTATGGCGTTCCCCATTGACTGCAAATTTATGGCCGGCTTAATTTTTTAAAAAATATGTAAATGATTTCCTCTGCCCAAAGATTGTAACCATTCAACCAAAAGTGGGCTTCATTGCTGAACAAAAGTTTCTGGTGGAAATCAGGATCGGTGCCTATGTCGTTTTCGGCCACGTACGACACTTGATAGTTGTTCGGCTTTAATCCTTGCACGAGTTGAATTTTGTGAGCCCGCAGACCAAGATCTTTCCTCAAAATCGTCCATAAAGTGGAATGGCATAGCTCCAATTGTTGCTTGCTACGGCGGATGGACTGTTCGGGACTTCTTCGATATTCTGCAGGTATGCATATTATCCTCTGAAGTGAACCGGATGAGAAATCGATCTATGGTTGCTCGAATTACCGACTTTGCTGAGCAATTATGTTGACCGAATGTTAGACCCGGCGCATGATGAGTCGCGCGAATCGAAGCATTATTTTGGTAATAAATTTGTCTGTTTTGCAAAAGTTATTCCGGAGTAAGTATCTTCATTGTGAAATGGCAAACCAAACTGAGTATAAATCAAGTAACGGTTGTCAAAAAGACCAACTCCGAAAAAAGCATTACCTTATTGAAAACCACACGCCTAAAAACAAACACAGTTTAATCATGAGTTATATCAATCCAAATTTATATATTAAATATAAAGAATGGGAAAATTTTTAGTTTCAAAAGCTATTTCTATTGCAAGCTTTTTAAATTATTTAAATTTACATACATTCTTTTAGAGGTAAATGATGTGCACTACTACTCTACTAAAACTGGATTAGACCTTAGCTCCGACTAACATAACAAAGTAAATAAGTTTCTTCCCACCAAATTATAAAAGGAGTTAGGCTTATAGCAGGGTCTAAGAGACAGTTGTTTTAGTTTTCCGAGGGGACGGCTCTTTTGTGAAACTCGCTTTACTAGAAGTTTTCTTACGTTTTAGGTTAGGGATTTAGAGACTTTTTATTAAACGGTGATTTTGTTCCTTTTTGTTGATCAAGTTGCGAATATTAAATTTTTAGTTATCCTTTTACTTTTATTTTGTTTTCTCTACTTTTTGCCAACCCAAAAATAAAATCATGCTTTCATAAAATCTCTCAAGAAATTATTAATATGTACGAATTTCTCTTAAAGGCCGGACAAAACCTCTGATTTTTAAAACTATTTCTCATGATATTTCCTACTTCTTCTAAAGCCTAAACCAAATTTAGTATTAAACTAAATTTAAAATATTTGTTTATAAACTGTGAAATTGATGGCTTCATCATTAATAATCCTCTCTTACTTCAACTTTTTTTTCTATTGTTATTTAAAGCCAAAAAGCCTGCAAGCCAAATCCCGGCCGAATATCAGACAAACCCACAATACGACACTTCCACTGTCAGATTGAATGCGCGGAGCAGTACTGCGGGCACGACAGCACAACCCACCGTTTACACAGTGAAGCTGCAGCAACAATACCCAGATCCACGCCCCTACGGCAGCACCTTCGATGTAAGCGCACCGAAACCTGAACACCTCACTGAGAGCAGTAAAAGCAAGCAACAACAACAAACGCAGGACACAACCATCACCAGCTCCACCGCCATCGGTGGCACTAAGCCCTACGTGCACGCCACCAAATCCTGGCAGAAGAAGAAGACTTACCAGCAACAGCAGAAGCAAAAATACGAACAGCAAAAGCAACACCAACACAAACATGCACACGAGCATGCCGCATACTATGCCTATCCGCCGTCATCGTCAGTGTCGGCCAGCAAAATTCTGAGCTTTCCGGAGAACTTGCCATCCGTGTTGTATCACGACTACCGCACCGAGGAGCATCAGCACCATCAACATCAACATCACCAGCAGCACTTGAAGCATCAGCAGAAAAAGCTACAGCTGCTAATGCAACAGCAACAACAAAAGCGCAAACAACAAATGCTGCAGCACACACACGGTCCGCGGAAGGATGGGGAGCACCAACCATCGCAACATCAACACGACATTTTTGCGGGAAAATCGGCAGCGAGTGCATATGCCTCATCGCCGTCACTGTACACTGGTAGGGACAGCAGTAACTTAGAACTGAGCGCCGACTGGGGGCTGGTTGGCGGCAATGAAAAAATCTACGATGATGCCGAGGCTGACAGCGATATACTCCCCGAGCCGCCGACAAAGAAACCGAAAATGACAGCCGCAGCAGCAGCTGCAACAGCGGAAGCACCAACAAGTTCTGTTGAGCTGGTAACAACAACTACTACCAGCAACATATCTGCCAGCCAAACACAGCTGGCCGTTGCTGTTGGCGCACAAGCGGCCGGACACGTAGGTGTGCATCAGAGTGACAGCTTCGTCGTCGGCAACGAGAAGTCATTAAAAATTAATGCTGCTGCGTCGCTTTCGCTATCCCCCTCATCCCTCACTAACTTCACGTCAACGGCAACATCATCGGCTGTGGTTAACGCGGCCACACCAGCAAATCCAACGTTCAACAAAATAACGGTAAGTGAAACTCTATTGCGTTGCCGACCCGACAGTCATGTGGAAGAGGCGACGGTTGGTTCCATTCGTAGTGAAGTGAGTGCTCGGGTTTAGTATTCATGTAATGCGACTGCGAATTATCACGGGGACAGCTCATAAATTCTTAGCATTTGAAGTGAAGTGGCTAAACTTTGTGGCAATTGCGCTCGTCGGTGCAGTTTGGCGAGTTAAGCGCTTTAATAGATAATGTCAATTGCCTTGTGCTTGAGTACTGACTAGGGAGTATTCGCTCTGAATTTTGCGAAAGTTCAGAGTTGATCACCTGATCATTGACGCATATACGCGATAATAAATTTGGTTTATTAAGGTGATATGAGTAAATAGAGTGACGTAAATATTAAATCTTTTGACTTTGGTTTAATTCTGAACATCTTTTGAGCCTTTCAAGCTAACTATATATTAAGCATACTTTTGTTGTCCTAGATTTGTGATTTTATAGTTATAAAATCACACATTTGTAATAAATAGCCTATCGACTATTTCCTGAAGAAGAAAGTTGGTTTCTGTAGGAAGCGTTGGCCTTAACGCCTGTTACTTCTACTTAAAAACACAACAATGGTCTGGTAGCTTAAAGCCAAGCATAACGGCGAGCTCCTTATCGAAAACTTCCTTCCAAGCTTCCTCTTAGCCTGGACCCATTCGTGTAAAAAAGTCTTCTCCAGCGACTTCTACCCGTTTACATAGCATGGTATTCCTCATCGGTATATGAGCATAGAAAAAGACTCCACGAGTTGCCTCTGCGACGCAGTGGTCCAAGTTTTCTGGGATGCAGTTAAAGCAGGAGAGAATTTCAGGTCGGACCATTATAATCAAGTCAATACAAAATCAAGGCATTGTATGGGAAATTGTTATACACCGAATAGGGTATATTAAGTATACCACGGTGTTTGTAAAATCCAAAAAGAAACGTCACATACGCTATGAAGTATTCGAGTGTATATATATCAATGATCAAGCTGAGGCGATTTGAACATGTTCGTCTCTCTGTATATTTGGCATGAATTATTGCCTAAGCAATGACACAATCTCCATGGAAATTGTTCAGATCAGATCACTATAGCTTTTTGCTGCGATACAAACTAACGGATCAAAGTTCTTGTAAGGGATCTTTTGTATTTGTGAAGAGTATTACCATATAGCGAAGTTAACGTTTTTTCTTGTTTTAGCACAAATATCTAATGACGTAACAGAGAAAGTTGTCTATCTAAACCTTCTAGCGACTGATATTTAACATTTTTTTTCTTACTCTACATCGCTGTGAAGTAATTTGGCATAAAAATTTAATATCACTGACAATAACAATTAGAAATTTAATAGTTCCTGGCTTGAAGCTACAGCAATTGCCCTTTGCAAAAACTCACAAATGAACACATATACGTCTAGCGGTACATACCCAGCTGCCAGCCTTCATCAATTTCATTTACGCTAGATTGACAATAATGATAACGGCCAGCCCTAATACACGTTTAGTAGACGGAAGGAAGAAGAACGTCAGCCTTCATTTCCTTTTTTGGCTGTTGCCGCCGCTGCCTTTGCACAACCAACTCATAACCATTGGCTTAACATCTCAAATAGCCACACACACACGCGTATACACACGAAAGCAACGAGCGCAAAAACATGACCAGCAACAGTGTCGACATTTCGGCGGTAAACGGCGGAAAAGTACAGTGAAAATGAGGCTTGAATTCTGTTGGCGCAGCGACGTGTTGGTGCGAAGATCACAATCTGTGATGGCACTAAAAATAAACATTACACTTGGCTTCTGATTAATTGAATGAGTACGACAGCGAGACTGACAACGTCGGCAAAGTCTGGCGGGGTGAAAGGAAGTGTTTTTCTTTGGGTTGGTTTAAGGTTACTAAGTATGCAGTTATATGATTGGCACGCACAACCCTAAACACATGCACCTATGTATACATCATCTACATACCTAAAGTTTTTTTGAATTTATATGGGCAGTAACTCAACTAAAATTGATTGACTCTGTAGCGTTTTATTTAAGTGTTTATTTGAAAACAATTTAACGGAGTTTTACGTCACAAGATGTTCGCTACTATCAACATGGACTGTAGAAAGAATATATTAACCAAGCGCTTTGAGTCTATCACAGATTTGCTGAGGCAGATATTATCAACTGGAATTAATTCGTCCGATTCGTCCGTATGGTATGTAAGTCGACCTCAGTTTAGCGACCTGGCCTTCCTCGAGACAACTTTGACAATTGACGTTTTAATTTCTAGCCTTACTACCAAGTGGTAAGGGGCCAAATAAGCCTAGACAAGTCTTGAATACAAAGTCAGCGAGGTAAGGGCTAGTACATATGATCGCTCTGCTATCGAAGTGAACTCTCAGCTTTCTGAAAGTAGACGTACTTCGGAACAGCTAATATACTGATACTTTCATTGCAGCAACCGACAAAAATTGGGTACAACTCCGTTCACATTTTCCTGACCTTTTATTCAGTCAGCTACTTCTGCTTTTTAGTTATAAATGAAGGGTGGATACGATGCAACTCTGATCCATAAATAGTAGCAATTGATCCAAAGCTGACAGAGTAAGGTATATATCGAATATGAGTATAATCGTCCTTCCAGTTGACATGGTTACTAATCTATCGATCAATATATGAAATATCTTAGAAAAATTAACTGATTTCCAAAACTCCTAGACATTGATCACCAGACCTTTAAAAATCGACAAAGCGCGTCAAGCCTGCTACTAATTTGTTAAGGCGGCTAATATCAATCCCAGCCACTACGCCAGATTCACTGAAGGTGTGACTACGAATTGTGGTGGCTACTAAAGTTCTTTACCTTTGACAGCAAAAAATTTACCTCCAACCTGTTAACAAAAGCAAGAAAATAATAACCTGCTGCTTAAAGTGTCAGCTATCCCCATACAATTGTAATGGTTCGTTAAATTTGCATATTTACTTAAGTGCTTGTATTATTGCTTCATTAACACGTATCCACCATTAACACATTCACACTCGCTTTCGGCCACTATTCAAAATAGAATTTGCACATTAAGTTGTATATAAGCACGCCTCCTTCGGCTCAATGCGCATTGAATTGGCCCGTCGAGCGTCTTTTAAGTTGTTCGGCTCTTTGTCACCACCCGCTTCCCTCCGTTCGATTAATTTCAACAGCCATTTGACCTTAATTAAGCGAGAAATGGACATTGGCCGCAAATGTTGGCGATGAGCTCAATTGCTCGCTCGGCTGGCTTCATGTGTTTCGGCTTCTCTAGCTTCAATGCCCGCGACCATACTGTTCTGACTTCGGCTCTTGTCCTGTAACTCATTTTTATTTTATGTGGAGTTATTAACGTTTATTGTGACACTTTCACGAGACATTAAGCGACTTTATGATGAAAAAATTGTTTCTTTATTCTAAATTAACTTGGTTGACTTCGGTTTGAAGCTGAAACGTGAATACAAAGATCAATGTTATAGTAGGCTGGAAATGATTAGTATGAGGTAGGAAGGCGGAATTAGAAAAGTCCAAAGGCCCTAAATCGAGATATTTTATAAATTATATATCAGTATAAAGAATTTTCTACTATGGAATTTTATTATATTTCTTCACCAAGGTTTTCATGAAGGTCTGTGTATTATTATCCCAACAAAATTTCCTGAAAACTACGAGTTTCAGGTAGGTCTTCATAAGCTCATATTTTCTCGCAATTATTTTCCAAATTTAAACTTAAATTTTATTCCATTGATAAACTACAAGTATCTACCATATTGTCACGATTTGGAGTTCACTTAACTAAAAAAAAAACTATTTTCAGGTATCACCATATTTAATCCCTCAAAATAAGATGGGCCATCGAAAAAAGTAGAGTAAAGCATAGGGATAAATTGATATATGGTACAGTACGTCTTTTAAGTTTAGGTATGACAAGAAAGGGTTCTTTAGTGGCTAGAAAAAGTTTTAAGAAGTAAGTTAATATCAACATTCTCTGCTATCTGGACAAAGTATTTCTGAGCAAAATATGTTTAAAAAAGAATTAGACAGCCTATAGTTAAGACATAATTAGGAATAGAGTTGCTAGCAATGGAGTTTACGAAAGTTTCAGAAAGTACTATTCGTAACATGTTTTAGCATAGAATTACCACCTATTGAGAAATGTGACACCCAAATGCAATACAACAATTAATAGGAACTTTGAAAAAGTATTAAGGTAGATAGGAACAGAGTTGTCGCCAATCACAAAGTATAATTGAAAAAACTGGCAAACTTTGGGAAGAGGGGTAAATTGAACCAGCTAAACCTGAATTCATTAGACTATATTCTCCCAAGGTTAGATTTCAGTAGTCACTTTCGGGCAAGGTAACCCTCTAGACGTGAATAAAGAAGAGCATTCAAGCGGAACTACTCGGTATACAGATATAGGTCCATAGGCCTGGAATTCTATTGAATAACGACGGGAGGAAATAGAAAGCAACCATATACGCAGATTGCCAGGTGGCATTGCTGGCCTTGTCAACGCCACAGATTAATTAAAGCGAAACTCTTTAGGCAAATCTAATTCGAAGTTAATATCATGCCCGCTGGGAACGATCAAAAGAGATCTGTGTATCCTTTTTAACAAATAGCATAGAACAGATGGCAACAGAACTTATTTAATAGGTCCAGAAATAGTATATACAGACTTACAGCTACTATTTGGGGCACTAGCTTTTTGGAGAGCATGCGCTATAAATGGGCCTGCCTGATAACAATATTAACCGCAGTTGCCTGCTAGTATGAAATAAAGAATCAGTTTTCCACTTTCTATGTGAATGCTCAGCTCTATCATAAGTCCGACAAAAAATAATTGTAACCCCACAGACACCAAACCTTGAATGGCAGTCCACAAAAAATCATAATAGAGAAAAGTATTTTCATTGAGAGCACCAAATGGTTTCGGCGCAACGATGAAACGGGATAGCAAGATTATAAGGTTCTAACATA